CAAATCCCAGACATTACATTATTTGATCTAAATATTTCTTTTCAGTACATATTTCTGAAAGATAATGATTTATTTTAAACACAACAAAGCCATTATTATGACTAAAACAGTAACATGCTTTCTTAATATTATCAAATATCCTGTCAGTATTCAAAATTTCCCATTTGTGTGATACGTACCTTTTTTTTTTTCCTTAAATGCTTTTATCATTCACATCAATATCCAAGAAAGATTTTTCTTTTCATTGCACTTGGTTGTCTGTCTTATATCTATGTTCTCTTTCCATGTCTCTTTTTTGCATTTTAAGTTATTTGTTAAAGAAACTGGTTCTTTTGTCTTGTAGAGTTTCCCACAATCTGAAATCTGGTGTTTATGCATGATTAGGAACACAACCTGTGTCTTCGTCCCTTATATTTAGAGGTCTTATCAGATACAAGTTTATTTTTTTTTTTTTTTTTTTGGACAAACATTCTACATAGATGGTGTTACGTGTTTTCATCAGAAGGCAACCGTTGATGAAGACGTAGATCTTTCATGAGGTGTTGCGAATGGTGATTTTCTGTCATTCCTTCCTAATTTATCAGCTGGAATACATCTATAATGAGAAACTCTACCCTGCTTCATCAACTATTTTGCTGTCCTGAGTCTTGTATCCTGCAGAAGCAGGATAAAAGCTTTAGTGTGTCTCTTTATCTACCACTTTTCAAAATAATAAAATGGTCCTGTAGTCTCCTCCAAAGATGACCAGTGAAGTTTTGTGTATGATTTTGAATTCATTATTTTAGCACATTTCCTATGTTTTATTCCTTATTATTTTTCTTAATGATGCTCATCTTATTCTTAGTGATGTCCGTCATTCAACAATAGGAACCTCTTCATGTTGGCTACAGAGTCATTTTTGGGGGAGAGGGTAACTTCATTTTGATATAATTTCAGACTAACAAAAAATTTTCAAGAAAAGTCAAAATAATTTGCATATGTCCTTTATGCAGATTCACCAGTTGTTTATGTTTTGTCCCATTTACTTTATCATTCAATGTTCCTCTCTTTCTCTCATCCACTTGTGAGCAGATATTGTCCCTCTTTACTTCTAAGTACATAAGTATGTATTTCCTACAAACAAGGGCATTTGCTTATATAGTATAGTGATCAAAACCAGAACATTTAACATTGTTATAATAGTATTATCTAATTCACAATTCCATATTCAGATTTTGTCTTTGTCTCAATAATATACTTCATAGCTTTTTTGTTTCCTGGCTCAGGATGCAATCCAGAATCACTACCTTGCATTTAGTTGTCACATCTCTTTAGTCTCTTTTAATCTGGAACAGTTCATCAGGTTCTTCGTCTTTTATGACCTTAAAATTTTTGAAGAGTATAGGCCAGTTACTTTGTAGAATGATATTTCCTCTTGATTAGATTTGGGTTATTCATTTTTAGTAGGTGTGCTGCAGAAGTCATGTTGTGTCTTGCTTAGTATAATACATCAGGATTTTTAACTTTGATCACTTGGTTAGTGTGGTGTCTGCCAGGTTTCTCCATTGTAAAGTTACTATTTTTCCTTTGTAGTTAATAAGTATTTTATGGGAAGATAAATTGAGTCTATGTAAGTATCCTGTTCCTCATCAAACTTTCACTAATTTTAGCATCCATTGATATTTTTTGCCTGAATCAATTATTATAGTGATGGTTGCTGAATAAACATTTTTCTATCTACATCACTTTCTATGTTTATTACTTGTCAATATACCATAAGGGTTTTACCTTCTCCCTAATTAATTAATATCACTATGAATTTCTGGATTCTTCTTATATTCAGTGATTTATAATCTGTTATTATTTTTATGCTCACGCTGTCCCAGAGTTGGACAGCAGGATCCTCTTCGAGCTGGTTCTTATGTCTGTTCAGTATGTCCCCATTTTCTGTGAGCATTTCCTTAATTCCTGATGCAACCACATGTCCCAGGTACTAATACTTTTGACATTGTCTTATAGTTTTTAATAGTTTTCTTGTTTTTCCTGGTATTATAAAATTCTCAAGGCTTACCTTATACATTTCCTGCTCTAGCATGGGAATCAGTTATTTCTTCAAAGACCTATGGCACCTTTTCATGGAAAATATTATACAGAGACCACAATCTGGGGACAAGCGGTGGTTATTATTTCTAGGCCTTTTCAGTGGTTAAATTTTTTGAAGATAAAATACATTAAGAATCCATAGCCTTTCTTCCAACACAAATTCAGAACTATAGTGTTTTTACTTATCTCTTTTATATCTCCTTTCTCACACAGTGACAGTCCTGGTTCTCAGTATCACCAATATAAATGTTCATTCGCTTTATTCTGTACACACGTAATAGTTTTAGGATAACGGTACCCAAACTACTTGTATTAATTCTCTATTGCTGAATTACTACACATTGGGTAGCTTAAAACAACACAAATTTTTTTACCTTACAACTCTGTGAATCACGAGTCTAGGCACAGATTAGTTAGGTTCTTGGCAAAGAAACTCACAAGGTTGTAATTAGGGTGCTGTTTGGGGCAACCACCTAATCTGTGGCTCAGCTGGGGAGTAACCTGCTTTTATTGGGAGAATTCAGTACCTTGTGGTTGTAGGACTGAAGGCCTCAGTTTCGTGCTGTTGTCAGCTGGAAGCTGACCTCAGTTCCTTGCCACTTGGGTCTTTCAGCATATGCAGCCCATACCATGGTAGTTTGCTTCTTCAAAGTTCAGCAGGACAGGTGCGAGTCTTAGGCAACTTAATCGTGGAGTCCCGTACATGTATATCACATCACCTTGCCCATATTCTATTAGTTAGAAGCAAGTCACAGGTTGCTCCCACACTCCAGGAGAGGGAATCACACAGAGCATGAACACCAGGAGGTGGAATCATGAGGTATGCCCTGGACTCTGTCCACCTCATTATCCCAATATGATTGCTGAAAATGGCTGAAGTTTTTTTGGTTTTTTTTTTGGTCATTATTTTTTTCTTAATATATACTAACACATTCCCTAAGTACACATGGGAGTATTTCTAGACTTGTTTTATAATCTTCTTCTTCTCAATAATTTTGAATACTTTGCATCAAGAAATTTTCTTCATATGCTATACTTTTTTTTGGATGTAACATAATATATTTAACCAATCCATCTTAAGTGGATATTGTTTTTTTCTCTATTATAAACAACACCACAATGAACATTCTTGTGGCAAAATATTTGCATATAGTCTTAATTATAACTTGATGATGAGTGGGGTTTATGAGAATACTTCAAAAGCTTCATGGAAAGATTCATATTATCTTTCAATTCTATTTTTCCATTAACTCTCTAAAGTACCCTTCTATTTGTTGCAAGAGCCTCTCTGCTTGGATGGGATTTAAAAAATCATTTCTCAAAAGAAAATAAGAATGCTCTCATTGAGGGAAATTGAACGTGTATTAGTCAGGGCTTTCCAGAGGGGAGATATCTATCTGTCAGTCTCATCTGTGAGATTTATTATAAGGAATTTGATCATGTGACTACAGAGGTAGGCAAGTCCCAAGACCTGTAGGGTGAGCCAGCAAGCTAGGGACTCAGGAGAGCTAATGGTTTAGTTCCGTTCCAAGTCAAAGGATTGAGAACCAGGAGAGCTGATGTTGTAGTTCCAGTCTGAAAGCTAACATGCTTGAGACCAAGGAAGGGCCAACATTTCAGTTCAAGTCGAAAGGCAGAAAAAAGGCAATGTCCCCATGAGAAGGCAGTCAGGCAGAGGAATTCTCTCTTACTCAGGGTATGGTCAAATTTTTGTTTATTCAGACCTTCAACTGATTGAATGAGACCCACTCAGGGACAACAATATGCTTTACTTAGCCTACAGATTTAAATGTTAATCTCATCCAAAAACACCCTACAGAAACATTCCAAATAATTTTTGATTAAATATCTGGGCACCCCATGGCCTAGTCAAATTGACACATAAAATTAACCATCACAGGAGGCCTTTCCAGTTTTGAGGTATATGACAGAGAGTTTAGAGTTTTAGGGGAGGAAAATGAGACAAAGGTATTCTTGTTGGATTTCCAGCTTTCTTTCCAATTCTACTACAAATAAGGAAAAAAATCATCTCTCTAAATAATTGTAGTAATAATTTTATTTCCCTTTCCAATTCCTATCATATTGAAATGACAAATTAATATTCCTTTAAAGTTATTCAGTCTCCTTTACAATGATCTTCCTCTAATTATAAGACTTATTTTTTTCTTATGTCATGGTCTATACTTCCTTCCTTGAGGGAAGGATTTTCACTCTTGGATTCACCCTGTCAACCTTCTACTTATTTTCCCCTTCCCTTGCAATCAACCAGACCAAGGCAGTTTTAGTTGGAAGTAAAAGAGAAGTCTTATGTTTAGAGAAGATTGGTGTGTCAATGACTGAAATAATCTGGATGGCTTTAATTTCTGAACATGATAGTAGGACTGACTATATCTAAGAAGGTATCCCCTCCCCCCACACGCATACATATACACACAACAAAAGAGTCAGAGATTTCTAATTGAGACTGAAATTTCATCTAGGGCAGACAAAAAAGTTCCTTCACTGAATGCTTTTTAAGGAAAGAATGAGAGACAACAATAAATTGGTGTTTTGATCACTTCTCACAAGTGATTATTGATTACATATATCATCAGTATTTAAACCTTACAACAGCTCTGTATAATAGTTATCAGTATCCCTATCTCACAGATAAGAAAACTGAGGCTCAGAGAGATTAAGTAATTTTCCCAAAGCCACACAGATGGTAATCTCCAGAGCCAAGATTTGATACTAGGGTCCATTGGACTCCAACCCGAGGCCAGCAGTCTTTCCACTATACCATGCCAGGGCAACAGGACTGCAAGGGTAATATGGCATGGTTCTAGGATCCAAGGGACCTGAAAAAGTTAAGTACCTCACTAGTTAAAAATATGTCTTTCCCCATCCTTCAAAAATAATTTGCCTTTCTTCTTCCTAAGGCTCAGTAGGAGTAGCCAAAATAATAGATTACCTGAGACAGACAACTAGCCAAGATTCTGAAGTCAATGGCCTTGAGGAGCTGTGGAACATGATTGATCCTGAAAAGAGAGATCCACATGTGGATCTGGAAACTTTCCATGCTGTCATGAAAGAATGGATGGCTTACTGCAGGAACAAACGGTAATCAGAGTCCCAGCAGGATGCATTTTGAGGTTCTGTTTTAACAATCGATTATAATTGATGCTAAGCACTGTTTTCTTGATGGAAATACTATTATCTAGTGCTTCCCACACTTTTAGCATGCATCGGAATCACCTGATGATGCTAAACCTGATTGCTGGGCCCCACAACCGTGATTCAATAGGTCTGGGGTGAAGCCTGATCACTTGCATTCTAACAGGTGACCAGGTGAAGCTAATGATGAGACATGGGGGGTGGGCACACTTTGAGAATCCTTGCTCTAATATGTTAATTCTGATAACATTTATTGTAACTAGTGGAAAGCACATATTATTTTCTCACAAAGAGCTGAGCTTGCATGAGTCGAGTGAACTATTGTTACTATATAATCTCCAAATGTATTTAGGTTCAAGATTGAACTCCCTTTTAAAGCCAGCAGTGCTAGTCAGTGAGTATAATTTGGGAGGCTAGAATATAAGAAGGCTAAGGAGAAAAGGAAAGGACAGTGAAATAGGAAAAAAAAAAAAAAGGGAAAATGGCACCGGTAGTCTCAGGTAATGCTGGAGAAGTATATCTTCTTTCACAGGAAGCCTAATTTCTATGCTTCTGACTTAGAGTCTAATCTCCAGCTATCAGCTGATACATAATAGGAATTTGTTCAAGCCCAAAGAATGGAAAAACTTGCTATATTTCTGGTAAGGTTAGAATGTATAGATGACTTAAGAAAATATGACTGAAATGTTGTTTGCCATTCACAGGTTAATCATGCAGGTAAGATAAATATATAATCTTACTAGTAATCCAAGAAATGCAGATAAAGAGAATATACCCTTTTTGCCCATGAGTTTAATAAAGATTTAAAAGAATAGCTCTAACCCAGGTTGTGGTGGGGGGAAAGGGAGAGATACGGCCCTCTCTTACATTGTTGGCAGTAGTGCAAGTTGACACAGTTTTTTTTAAGAGCAATTTAGGCATGTATATTA